GTGGAAGACAACCGCAAGGCGTTTTCGTTATCGAGCTTCTTTTAAAGCAGAACTTAGCCGGCCAGCTGTAGTTAGTCCACGCGTACCTAACACATTTAATAGTATATTGTCCATATTGCTTATGGCACCAACTCTTGAGCGATTTTATTACACACAGTCCGGAAAAAACAGACGTGATAGTTGCGTTTTGCTCCGTACGAGCCCGCGTCTCTTTGAGCAAGACAGGAATCCGATTAAGTGATTAAGGTTTAAGTAGCTAGGATGACGTGGACTCTAACGTATAGGTATATTTATATAGATAGAGTATCTCTAGTTGAGCAGAGAGATGGGAAAACAACGATAGTAGTACAAACGCGTCACTCTGAGTAATATTGCTACCGCGCGAACTTCTCTTTCGTTTTTATTAGAATTATTGCGATCATTTATACGAGCGAGGGGGGGGGAGGAGGAGAAGAGGGAGGAAGTAGACACGTAACGTGAACACGTTCTCGAGCTCGGATGTGTTTCGCTCGTCCTGCGTCTCTCGATTCGCGCACGAGCCGAGCTACGACGGTCTCAATTGATGTTAAATCATACCGTTGAATTATGGCGACGGGAAAACGAGTTTTTCGACACTCCGGAGGATCTCTCGCGATGAGTAACATTCGCGCGCGAACACCGGTGCGACACGAAAAATATATATGGAAAACGTTTGGAGAATCGTGCGAATCCTCGGTCTATGAAAATACAAAGTCGCGAGTTTACGCGTTTGCAATTGTCGAAGAGAGGGGGGGGGGGGATATCGCGCTACTCGACGCGTGCCATTTTTTTCTTGTTTTCGATCGGTATGTGATGTCTGCCCTCGTATAAATCTCGATGTGACATGTGCGTGGTTTCCCTACAGCTGACCATGTTCTAGTACATTAAAAACACCGTTAACAATACGTTCCGTAGTAAAAGTTAATAGAGAATAGTATAACATCAAATAGAAGAGTATAAAGAACCATGCTGGCGTATAGAGATAGACATTAAAGTAGGTAATAGGTAAGAGGACGATAGATTACGATATTCAATATAATCCGTAATAACTTTTTTTTCACTTATTAAGAGTAATTTTGCATAAACGTTGATGATCATTTAGTAGACTTTTTTTTTCTCTTTAATACAATATTTTGAGCACATTCCTCAGGTGTATAACCACGCTACACTTTCTTCATCGAGTTGTACCAATATATTCCACAACTGATTAAACTTCACCGGTACGAAATTATTCAACGATTATCTCGAAGATCTTCGTCAATGTTTGAGCCCATGGCGTGCATTGAACATTCTGTAGGAAGTATCGTGCGAAAATTTTCACTTAAACGAGAGAGGATACACGTACAGTGAACGTTTGCTACGTAGTAACTAAATTATCCGAGAGAATAACGAATAAATTACCGATAATAATAAAATTAACTTAATATATATATATATATATATATATATCGAAACATCACCGCAACTACTTGCATCTAGAGAAATGATTACGCGTTTCTAAGTAGTCGTTGCCGAGATAAAGATGTCTCGCTACTTTCTTACTACATATTGCCCGATCTCGTGACGCGCTTTCTTCCCTCTGACGGTAATCAATCACTCAATGCGTTTGTTTAACGTGTGCGTGAATTTAGTAACTGACCTACGACTGCGAATGCGGAACTCCAATATCCTTTTTAATCACCGATACAATATCAATATATAGTATATTAGTACACAGTAATCTAATAAAGGGAGACATTTACGAGACAAAAACAAGCACGAAATTATTAATCACGATTAATGTCTTTTGTCAGCTTGTTATGGGACCTCGGAAATAAATGTTCGTACTCTCTTTAACAGCGAATTAAACGGATACCGACGCCAACGCAAGTTTGAACATGACGTGACGTCAACTCAAAAACGGAAGTAAACGTGATAAATAACAGAACGATAATTTTTTCCGACATGAATAAACTGTCACACACAATAAAATGTAAAATATGAAAACAACACAATTGTTTAATTAATAAATTGTCAATGAGTGCAAAATGCTCCATTTGCACAGCCATTAAGTTAAGTGTTAGTTGGTAACTTTCAAGTTAATTCGTCTAATCATATACACGTACGGGAGCAGAAACGAAAATCGTATCATATACGGATTTGTCGATGATTAGTTCGGATCCATCCACTCGATGTTATCGCTATTCGATTTTATGGCAGTACAATATCGGTACAACTCACTAGTTGATGGCACGGGTCCGCCTATGTACAAATATGTAATACCATATACCACATACCATTTAAATACATCACATAAGTTATCATTTTGTTATATATATATTCTTCATATAGATATATATCATTCTTTTCTGTGACGTGGAGGGACTCGTTTGTACAATTCATGCATATCTTCGTTACTGTTTCATTGCTTCGTTTCTTTCCCACATTCTGAGTAAGTAGCCTCCAGTACCGTACACATATCCATATCGACGCTGTTCGAAATCCAGAATGCGATTCTTTGTCTCCATCGGAACAAAATCGAAAAGAGAGACATCCGTTAGATTTCAATCAATGTAATTTTCACCGTAAAAAACTGACGACGCGACTAAATGGCGTGTGCGTATAAATTAAATCCAGGTAGGAATTAACAAAGAGAGACAAGACGAGAGGAAGCAACGGAAAATCTGGCTAAGAAAAAGGTAATTAATGTTGCGAACTGTTGTACTGTTATTAACGTCGCAAGATTTTCTGGATTTTTGATCAGCCGATACGCACTAATATCTCTTCGTTCCATTTATTTACTACCTACGACATTCCCTTGAAGCTCTAAGTTCTGATTAAGAGTTAGATTACATATAATAACAATTATATTAGTAGAAACTTAGTTTCTGTGTAACAAGTGTATTGTCTTAAATGATATGTCTGCTAATTTTGTTGTATTCGACCAATGCACCGAGCCTGTGGTCGGAATTCATAACAATTTTATCCCTTAAATGAACTAACGCTTTAAGATTCGAAATTCTAGAATCTTATAGTATATAGATCTCTAAAGTACTACCGCACGTTTTTGCTTATGTACTGGAGACCATTACTCAGCCGTTACAGAATCATATATATTTTAATATGGCTACAAAGGAGTATTTCCACGGGCTCAAAAGATTATATCACATAAACATCCGCAAATATGGCCTTGCGATATCGTGAATGCACCGGAAGAATCAACATAGATATTCATGAAAACTTTTAACAGAAATATATCGTTTAATATCACATAGAATCATTGTAGGCCGGTGAATTTAACGAACATAGCAAATTAGTAGCCGTTGAATTTAATACCTTAGGAGCGTTAAATTAGTGCCCTTGGCGATACCCCCTCATATTAGTCTCTTGTCTGTAAATAAATAAATAATGAAGATGTGTGTGGCCGGAATATTTGATGTTTAGTTTGCATTACATTTTTGTAGATCGGGGAGAGGATTAATGAGACACACATAGAAGTAGAATAGAGACTGAAGTACAGATTTCTAAATGTCTAATGTCGCAAGAGGGGAAGCGCACGCCCCGTTGCTGACAATTAGACTTTCATTCACAATAATCATAGAGCTTTTACCTCTGATCGAAACAAATGGAAGATTTAAAGCCATTTTTCACGAATTGTTAAGACCTGGCAGATTTTTTTTAAGCGTCCTCAGTCACTTGCGTTTGCTCGAAAAAAGTTTAAAAAGTTAAAGTGTACGTCGCGATTCGTTTAATGGTAAAAGTTAATAAGAAGAAGAGTGTTAACAATAACAATATCCTCAAGGTAGAATTAGAGTATCTACGATTGGCAACTCTCTTGAATAACAATTTAGAGTTTCAATAAATGAAACTTGATATAAATATATTTTAATCTTTATAAAATTTAGAGTACATTTTTTTTATATTTAAGTTTATCCTTTTCTTTCCTTTAATAAGATGCACGCTGCTTTTGTTCTAAACATATAAGATGGTTTTTTAAGGGATGTTCCTATATATACATATAAATATACGAATAACTAAAGTCGAAATTAGAATTTGGTTTGTACCACAAAGTAAATAAGCGTGTAATAAACGAAAATTATAATCCACGAATGCTGGATCGTCGGGTGCGTACTAAGATTTTGCTCTATAAAGTGGAAAGGAACATGCAACGCAACTTATAACCATTGGAATCGCTTTCGTTACTTCTTCGCCGCTTGTTACGTTGACGTTAATCAAAGAAACGCGACACCGTTGATAAAAGAACAAAGTCAATTCGATGTATCGTCGAACTGTGCGCGGGACATACCAAAGAAAAGTAAATCTTTCTCCGATCGCATAAGGCACCTTACATATAGGAACATCATAGTAAGAATTTGCAAACGAAAAAGAAAAATTCACACTGATCACGGGGAACGTACGGCCAGTCATTGTTTTTACAAGAGTCTCGCCACGTAGTCTCTAGTAAGGTAGAAAATGAAGCCAAGTATATATACTTTTCTTTACATATATATATGTATAGATCCCTCCTAAAACAACCTAAAACCTAGCCTACTTGCTTTTTCATAGAGTTCACTTTAATTGTACATACAGACACTGACGTTATATGTACAAACATGTACACGTCTTATGTACATATAGCTATTCAATGATCATTGGAGTTAAATATCAATTAATTAATAAATATTCTCTATCCTCTGTATCTGTGTCGGGTGCGCGTATGTATAGTATGTATGTATGGGCGTATGTATAATCATTATTTTACATTCAGTATATATATGTATGTATATATACATATATATAAATAAATATATATATATATATATACACTATCGTCGAGACGATATACATACATATATACCCGGACGATGCAGGAAACGCGTCTGAAGTAAAACTTGAACAACGTTCTTCCTAGAGAATTATTCACCTATGCTACGAGTTCTTCTCAATTACACCGACTCATTTATACATATTTATATTTATGTATATATTTATATGTTCATATATCGCGCATATATTAAAATTTATTTCAATTGTGTACTATTAAACTACTAAGTAACAGAGGTAAAGAAATTAAGAGGTTTCAATAAATCTACGTACGTATGGTAAAACCCACTTATTCATCGAAGATTTTAGAGATACATTAATGATATTAAACTAAATGTAACTAGAGCGAACGTGCAACAAGTCGTACGTAACACGTCGGGATCTTCTCGCAAGTCGCAGTTCTTGTCCGCATTTTTTTTTCGGAATTGATCGGAAAACATTTAGTCGGAATCAATTCAAATTAGAGTGTATGAATTTTGAAAACAATTTTTATTCGCATAGACGGTTTCACATTAAACTGAAATACAAGGTGTCTACGCAATCGATCTCTGTAAACCAAAGTACGCACTTTCTTTACGCCGACAAGAGAACCCCGAACGCGACCCCGCGTAAGCCGATCCCGGCTGTGACGAATAGGAAGAGAAAAAACAACCTAAAACGTTACGGAAAAAAGGAGAAGAAGAAAATTGCGAAAGGGCAACAGGTAACAATAATGTCTTGTGGCACAATCTGGGAACATTTCACGTGCATAATAAATAGGTACACCAAAGTCGCGTTTAATCGTTATGTCGCTTATTGTAGGTGCACGCCAATGTCCATCGGTCTTGCCGAGTCAGCGCACGTCGAGGCGAAAGTACGCTTCCGCTTCCGTGTACTCGCTGAGACGCGTTTGATTTCATTCTCCCTAGGCAATTTTTCGAAACGATCGCGTTTATACTCTTTTCTTTCCTTTTATTCTTGTCCGCAACTAAACGCAAAAGTTTGTGTATACGTTCGCCTTGTCTCTCCGAAAGCGACGGTTCTCCTCTTGTTTAGAAGACACCGCACCGGTGTCTCCCGTGTCTTCCGTGTGTGACGGAGGACGCGTTTCACGTGATCATCGGTACCCTGTCTCCTTGTTGAACAGAGCTCGAATTATTACGATTGCATAAGTTAAAGACCCTTTTCTCTCTGTCGCTGCGCCCGTTAAACCCTACTACGAGTTTCTACACACGACTCTCTCTTCGTGCCTTTCAGCTCCCATCGGCGGCCGATGTGTACTCCTTTCGTCTTCGTGAAAACTGCTCGATCGCGATTCCATATATTTCCATATATGTGTAACAACCTCGTAAGTTTAATTAGTCCGTCTGGCCGGGCGAACTTATCGGTTCGCTCTCTCGCTTTCGCAAGTTCGCGCATGTATTGAGGAGGTATTCGCGTTTTCGGAAGCTATCTATCTTGGAAATTTACCCGCGCGCAACCCACCCCGTCGTGAGCGGAAGTCTCGTTCACGTAAAAAGATATATTCTCGCGCAGCGACTTCGCGGATGGTCGCGCGTCATCGTATAAGAGAACCTGCCTATATATGCCTCGAGCGACCGTATTCTACTTCCCTATCGTACCATTACAGCCTTCGTTAAGGTAACTTAAGTGTAGCTACTTGGATCTCGTCCTATGGGGGCCGCAGCCTTGTCGGATTGTGCCAGACATGCGCTGAATTTTGAATCTTGTTGTCGCTGACACTCGCGGGCAGTTGTTGCTGATGGTCTTGAGCTTGCAGTGTGGCACAGTCCGACTGCTGCTGCGGCTGCTGTTGCTGCTGTGCTGGTGGTTGATGCGGCTGTAGCACTTTCGACGGTTGTTGCGCCGCGGATCGCTTAGATTCTTGACCCGTTGAATCGGGCAAGGGTATTGGCCTGTGTGATTTCATGTGTGCGCTTCTGCTTTTGACTTTGTTGAAAACCCTGGAAGAAAAGTGCGAGAACGCGCCGTCAAATAGGCTATATCGGCTATGCATGATCGTCGGAGGGTCTCATATCTATGATATGCGAACACGATTGATTGAGAAATTCAGCTCGACGATTCGCGGAGACTAATGTAGGCGTGATTGGATGGAAACGAGCAAACCTCGAATTTGCACACAGTTGGGGAAAAAAAAGAGAGACATTTCGTCCCGCAAACGTTGGGCTGTGCGTCTTCGTTCAGGTGTATAGTTTAGTTCACATGTGTGTATACTTCACATATAAGTGAGGAGTCGGAGATATATCGACACAGCAACAGCGGTCTAACAAATCATGCCAGCGTTATGCGTTGAAATTTAATACTGATTACGACATACCATAGCCAATTTATATGTACAGATATCTTCATCGGAAGGTGAAACATAGAGAAATATAATTAGAAGAACCTAGGCAGCAAATCAAGATAATGTATAGGAGAACGGGGGCCAGGCGTAAAGAGTATCAAGTAATTGATGTTATAAATACTTCTGCCGATATTTCAAAGATACACTACGAGTATTTTACGTCTCGGTCAAATTCGGTGATAAGTAAGCAAGAAACATTAAATCGATCTTTTGAAACATTGATTTTATGTGAATTTTATAAACATTTTGACATATTTTATAAATATTTTTATACTGTTATTTAATAATATAACATTATATAAATATTAAAATCATAGTAGAAATATTATTTTTGATGTTTGGATCAAATATCGTTACCAATGTTGTATACAATATTGAAAACTACATGTTTGAAAATGTTATACGTTATAAAATATTATAAATAACGTTATGTTAATAACTTCTTGCTTATTAGGAACGAAACTAATATTTCGAACGAGAAACCTTGTTGTCGTATTTGTCGAAAAAATATTGCGCGTAACGATTTTCTATAATATATTAAGTTTTCTGATATATATATATATATGTATATATATATCGTGAATGGCGTTTGTGAATGCGGTCTGGAAAAGTGTGTCAACACACGTATTTCGAAATGGAAAAATATCCATTTCTCAGTGTAAATCGTTACAACGCACATATATGCGATTCTATTTCTCAATTTATCTAAAAATTCTACTGTTTCACGATGCTCTTGTGTTTTTGTGTATATCGATCCAAAGTGTGACATGTTTTTCTCTTTCCTTCCTTTTTTCTTGACGAAGCATGCATTCTGCTGTTGCGCCGACCCGCTCAAATTGTTCTCAGTCGCGACTTCGCGATACTACATGCCTCATCGCTAAATAATTTCACACGTATTTCTATTATTGCGAGTCATTTGGTATACATTCGTGGACAATGAATCGTCCCTCCCTAGATCCAGTGAAGTCTGAAAGATGCTTACCCTATATACCTAATCTATGATCAGAAGAATGTTCCTGTAAAGACCAAATTAGATTATTGAAATTTGGTACTTGACCAGTCGGAATAACACGAGCTAAGATCAAAACTATGTTTCATTGAATTTTGACTTATAATTTGCAATCCTTAATACCCAATATTAGCCTGACACGAGATTTTTATGACGATTTCTTCAGATAGAAAAAAATAAATATCTTTAGAATAAATATCTTAGAGCTCGCTTTACTAGATCTAAAGAGGAACGAATCACTGTCCGCGAATGCATGTGTGATACTTTGATTGCTTTCCAGCAAGAGACACAAGTCAACACAGATCTAGTTATACCATCATTTGTCCTTATTTTGCACCTGGTAAAGAAAAGGATAATAGATGATACAACTGAACTTTGCGTCTTTTGCTGGAAAGCAACCTTTGAGTGCCTCCCAATAAGAGACACAGGTGACACAGTGTCGACCAAGCGACTTTTTACAACGATACAACATGACCGACATGGTTGTAGAGTCGACATTTGTATCGATATCATAGCTGCCAACTTTTTGTAACGTTTATATTATTTTTATATTTGTACCATATTAAATCTCTCTATTAAAGAATTATTTCCCCTTCTTGTGACAAGTTTTAGTGTTTCGAGTTTTTCGGTAGATGTAACATTTATTATAATAAAATATAAGCTCAGAGTGCATATCAGCATTGTAATAATAAAACAGTAGTTGATATTCTACAGCATTCGTATTTTGCCAAACAACAAATATATTTTTGGGGTCGACAGCAATAAATAAAAACATAACTGACGATAAAACTATTAGCTTTTCCTTTCGAAGTAAATTTTAATTGCTCCAGAAACGATTAATGACGTGTTTAGTTCTGTAATTGGCTAGTAGAGGCTTACAATGCTATTAATCGCTCCTGGAGCGATTAAAACCTACTTTATATCGAAAATATTATATGTAATATTCGCTAACATCACATAATAGCACATTATCGCCAATCAGCGACTGTTTCAAAAATTAAGGTGTTCCATCAAGCACCCATGCACTGTGTTTAATTGTGTGACACAATGTCTCTCCATGTTTCCTTATTGGAAGGCATCCTTTGTAGCTGTACAGTCAGCATCGTATCGCCAGTTAGCTCCGGTCAGATCGTATGCAGAAAGGCACACACATTCTCCCTCTCTCTCTCTCTCTCTCTCTTCCTCTACAAGCGAAGGTAGTATCTATGTGAGATGTGCCGATACTTGCCGCTTACATTGTCGTTAAGGACACGCGTATCGCACGGTACGCCGTCAATTATTGGAAAATGGATCATTTAGATTAGAGATTGGAGACTTACTTCCCGCAAATCTTGCAGGGGTAGTGAAGTGGGGTGGGCGCGGGTAGTTGTTGCTCAGAACTAGTGTGAGTTTGTGAGTTGGTGTTGACTGTGGCGTGGCCGGTATTGCCGATTTGGGCGGTTTGGGTGCTCCCGGCCATCGTTACTGTTACACTTCCGCTAAAGCTCTGACAACACAAAGAAAACACAAAGCCAAAATAAACAACACAAACAAACGACAACGGCGACGACAGATAAGTAAACGCAACGTTCACACAACGCACAACATCCTCGGGTCCTTTTAAAACGAAGCGTGAGAAAACGACGGATCAACAATCAGTCTCATGCGACACTTAAATGTTCACACGTATGTACGCATGTAAGATCATCTCAGATACACCGAGTACGAGATCCCGTTGATTTTTCAACTCGTACGCTGCGTGTCCCGCAAGCAGGCCGCGATTCGCATTCTTCCTGTTTCTTTTTTTTTTAAGACTAGCTTCTCGCTACAGTCGTCGTGTTTGATGACGTCAGAAGCGAGAAAACGTATGTTCCAAACTCTTGCGAAATACGTTGAAATAAAAAAGATGTACTCATAAAATGACGCGAGATCGACTGAGTGAATTGGTAAAATATTTCGAAATTTCTCCTTTTTCGCTCTAACAATCAATAAATAACCACAAAATTACCATAACCTTCCTTCTTATCACACCCTTTTTCGTGATTTTGTTACGTTAATTTTATAGCTATTTATTAATTGTTAAAATAAAAGGAATGTTTTCGAATGAAATGTCATTTTATATTTATGGACACATCCTTTTATTTGAACGTATACAAGAACTGTGGACATTCGTTTTCTTGTTTCTGATGTCATTAATCAAAATGGTTGTAGTGAAGAAATAGAAGACGCAAGGAATTGAATTAGATTAGAAATTCGATACGATTTTGCGGACGCATGAAACTCGTACTTAGCGTATACGGAAGAAATAGGGTATACAGTGAGTAGCAGACATAGAAAAAAAAAACGTATACAATTGTAATTGATTTTTCTGATCAAGTTACTCTGAATATGCTATGATATACTGTTACAAACAATAGCGGCGAGAGAAGACATGTTGCTAAAATCGGAAAGAGAAGAGATTCGGAATTTATTTTGAAATTAATTTTCCAAGACTCTCAACAGTTGTCATTAGCAGTTAGACGTATGACTGGTGTAGTTGATCGTAAAAACACGACAATACGTGGGAATTAGTATTCAAGAGATATATCGTTACTCACATCTGGGCAGTCATATGCAAATAACCTCAGCTCTCCATCGTTGGTGGTCAGAGTCGCCGAATTTTCTCTCTCGTTTGTTTGCAGCTAAAAGTGAGGAGGTAAAAACACACATTTTTTATAGCCGCGTTTTTCGTGTTCACATTGTATATGCGTGATACGTGACATCGACTAACACTTTGCGGCTCGCACTTAGTATGAAGCTGTCTCGTTTTCTAATTCAAGCAAACTGAGTCTATGATTTATATTTAACCGCACTCTTGATTGCAAATAAATACCGATATAAAACGACTTATTAAAATTGAAGCCTATAAACTTCTTTTTATCCATAAAGGACATTTTTCTTACCAATGCACATAATAAATTGCAATTTTTGTATTTGTTTTTATTTGTCTCGGACAGTCAAAGATAACAATTTTCTCTAACTGGAAGAAGTCAAATGTAGGCATATTGGTCTTCTGGGACTATAAATACCGCTTTTTTAAGATTTCCATATGATACAATAAATTATAAATTTTATTTTAAAAGTATCATCTGTTATAATTGACTGTAAAAAATGTATATACTTCCTGAAGATGCAATAATATAATCATCTGATTAAAAATCTTCATCGGACATGGTTCTAATAATTAATATTTTTGCGCTTTCGTGTACTTCATTTATGTTGTCTATAACTACATTTTTCACTTTATAACATTTCATTGACTCTCCCCTCATGTTTACAATTGGTTTCAACATTACTAGGTATGATTCGTTTTTATTTTTTCTCCGCATATCTATTTTTAATTACAGATGTATGTATACACGGTGTCCTAGTTCTTACGACTTTAATTTTACCGAGAGATTCTATGAGCAATTCCAAGTTAACTTTCTCTCAACGGAAACATCGTGGCACTAATAGTTCCTGAGCTACAAGCGATTGAAAAAGTGGAGCTTTTCGCAACCAAATGTGAGGCGACACGCAACTAAGTAGACAACAATAATTTTGTTCTCCGATTTATTTCGAACGGACTTTAACAGAATTTTAATTTGAGACTTTGCTAAAAGGATATGTTATGTTGAAGACTGAAAAGTTGTCATAAATAATGATCTCCCTCGATACTTTCGCTAAGAAAACAACTCGGAATTGTTCAGAGAATCTCTCGGAAAAATTAAAAGTCGTGAGAAAGGGGACACCCTGTACACTAATATTAACGTTTTCACATTGCTATATTGTCGACGGCCCGCAAAATGTTAAGGCGGAAAGTGACGGGATGTGAGGCAACGCGCAGACTCACCAGGGTACGGTGGAGGATCGACTTCTCCTCATGGAAGTCCATCTCCGTGACGGACGCGATGGCGTCGCGCAGTTCCTTGGTGTCCTTGCTGTCCTTGACTTCGCTTTTGATCTTTGGTTTTCCATGACGAAGGCGCAGCCTCTTGTACTCGTCGGGGCAGAGCCTCTTCCAGAGGTAGTAGAACTGCACACATTGTTTCGCGCTCTTGCCACCGACGTCCCGCGAGATCGCGCTGAAGTCCTTGTTGTACTTGAGCAATCCCTGGTAGAAGGCGTCCATCTCACGCGACGTCCATCGGTCGGACTCGTGGCACTCGTAGCTGAGCAGCGGGTGTTGCACCGGTAGCGTCGGCGTTGGTCGCATTAATTTCACCATCGCTTCCTGAAAACATGTCCAACATGCCGTCGTTATTGCGGTTCGAGTCCCTGTAATAAAAATCTAGACCACGTATGTTTGATTTTTTTATTATCTCCGCCTTGTTTGAGTAAATTTCCGGTTTGGATCAAAGGTTGCTTGCTTTCCAGCAAGAGACAAAAGTCGACACGAGTCTCTGGTTATCTCATCTGTTATCCTTTTCTTTATCAAATGCGAAATAAAGAAATACGATGACACAACAAATGATGATGACTTTTGTCTCTTACTGAAAAGCGACCAAAGTTATCAGCTGAATGACAACGCAGGCAAAGATTCGCCATTTACGAAGTCTACGAAATATGTTGAAAGAAACGTGAATTTGTATGTTTCAGATTGCGATTAATTATTAATTGATTTTGGTTTGCACTTATTTTAATAATATTTCAACATTTCATGCATTATGATTGTGAACTTCCGCTTTTAAACCAAACATGGCGGTCATGACGACTTTTATTGTAGGAACTTTAATTGTATTAAAGCTGACTTTCATAGCGCTCTCGTTCGCGCGAACAATGGTCACCGAACAAATTCAGCAAATTTCGAAGCTGCACAACGACTTACATGAATGTTCCCCTTGCACATGTGCAGCAGGTGAAGCGCATACTCCTTGTTCCTACCGCCGCCGGGCACCGCGGCACAGCATGCGAACTGCAGGTACATTTCCACTGCGAAGCAACAACGTTCGTTATTTTTTCCTTCGCCGTGCATTAATTTGTACAATCCAGTGACTGGAGCTTGCAAAACATCTCTTCAACGAATTTCATAACACATATCTCACATATCTCACATATCTGAATAGGAAAATTTGCCTCTGGTAATCCTGAAGAAATACATTTCCCTATTGAATATAGGACACATTGTGAAACTCATCGATGGTTGACACTATTCACGCTTGTCAGCATACGGTTATTTACTGATTGTTAGAACAAAAGAGGAAAGTTTTCGGAATATTTTGCAAATGTGTTCAATCAGTCGCAAATGATATTTTATGTACGTATCCTTTCAATGTGTTTCGCAAGAATTTTTAGGCATGCCTTCGCTTCTAATAAATAAGCAAGATGACTGCAATGAAGGACCAGGAACCTTGATTGATCGATCGTATTTTAAAATAAATAATGTTACATGTATACTTCGATTGGAAAACTCTGTCTTTGTTTGTCCCGGATATTAAACAGAAACACGATCGTTGCGAGCATTAAGTGGAACCTGTTCTGAGTTATATACGAACGAATAAGTAGAAGGCTGCTTAAGTACTGCCAGTAGGCTATTTATCGTGTCGACCTGTATGTTGATGCAACACCCTGTACAATCGTGAAAGAAAAATAGTTAGACTTTTTTGGTTAAGTTTCGGAACGCACCTCGTGTACAATAGGATAATTTGTTTTTTGATTATCTTTAGGAGATATATCTTCCTATTGCACAGAGAAAAAGGTTTCTTTAGATATAGTATTTCTATTTGTTTGACCAAAATTTGTTTCACAGAAATAACATATTATTGGCTTGAGTAAAAACTGTATTGTCTCATTCAAGAAAACTCTATTATTTAACAGAAAAAAACACTATTATTTGAAATAATATCTTTTAACCGAATAAAATATCTGGTCACAAATACGAATATGTAGAATGAAACAAATAATTTCTTTATAAGAAAATTATCTTTCGTTTCGAACAAATTTTTTATTTAAAACAAATATATTTCATTGAAAAGTCTAACAATCGTATTTATTAATCGAAACATGAATTTCTTTGGAGCATTCCAATGATGAAATTCGTTTGGGTGCGATACGATCGATTAAATCTGAGGAAATCTCTCTCAGCGCGGATCAGCGAGACGCGCTGTGAAACCCATAAAAAAAAACTGTCACAACCTTTCCGCTCACGGGACTGTACTTTATAAACGTTTCGCGAAAGAACAAACTCACGTTCGGTGCTGGTGAGCACGTTGTTGATGCCGGGGTCCCACAGCAGATGATCAGCCTCTGGCCCGTCTTTTCCCCTGTCTCTGTTGCACTCGATCGGCGGTATCGCGGCCTGATATCTCATGCCGATGTTGATCCTCGGCGGTGGGCCGTCGTTGCCCTGGGAGTCGTCCGAGCTGAAGTCCGAGTCTCTCTCGTACTGGTGCAGTCTCGCGTACAGCCCGGGTCCAGGACGGGACGGGTCTAAGATCGGCGGCGGCGTGTAGCTGCTGTCCCAGTGGCGGTCGCAAGCCTTCCGCAGCCGCGACGGGTACGTGTGTATGTTGGAATTGCTCGCGTACAGGCCGCAGTCTATACGCGGCCTTTTTCGACAGTGCCGCACGGGGCTGCCGGCAGGTAGACTGCCGGTGGGCAGACTACCAGGACTGAGAAACACGTCCTCGTCCAACAGCTCCTCCTTGATCTGGTCGACGGGTATCGGTAAATTCCCGACGGTCGACTTGTGTCTCAAGACATTGTTCTTCGACGCCTCGCTGGTTTGAACGAGAAACTTGGCCGGGTTGATGGGCTGCTGTTGCTGCTGCTGTTGTTGTTGCTGCTGCTGAGTGAACTGGTTGTTCGTGTTGTTGTACTGCTGATTAGTTTGGACATTCAGGCCGAGGTTCACCGAGGCCGCGGGTTCGACTTTCGGCGTCGCCAGGCGAATCTCCTTCTTGAAGGCCAACGCTGGACTGAGGGAGCCCGCCTGCACCAGCACGTTCGCTTTCTGCAGACCCGCCGTCTGTATCAGCTTGAACTCGCCGTTGTTGTCGACGACGATGCCGGCGAGACCGCCGTTTCCCAGGCCGAAGTCCACTAGGTTTTGGCTGGTGATTAGTTTGTACGACTGGAACTCGAATCGCCTGCGACCGGCGGTGGTGAAGTCCTTCGGGGTGGAAGAGAGCAGCGGGTCCTCCGAGTTCGGCATCATCTGGCTTTGGAGCGCGTGATGCGGCGACGCCGGGAAACCCGTGCTGCCGGTGAAGGTGACCGGTCTCGGCGACTGTATAGAGGACGGCGGCAGCGAGGACAGTGGCGATGGCGCCGGCGTCGCCGACAACGGGCTTGGCAGTGGCGAGTGCGGATTCGGCGAGCCGGATCCGTAGAGATCCGCGTCCGCCTCGGATTCGCCTGGCAGTACCTCGTTCAGCGCCTCCTCCACGGCCGCGGCGGACGACATCGTGCTGGTGTAGAACGCCGCCGAGAGCGGCGACGACACCTGCCTCACGCTCTCCGGGTCCTCCTGCGGACTCAGCAGCGGTATGCTCCCGGTGAGCAGGCCCTCCTGACTGGCCGGCGGCGTCGGGTATGTGAAGCTCGGACTATCGTGCCGCGTCAACGGCGACGGCAGCGGCGACTGGGTCGGTAATGTATGGGGACTTTCTGTGTATTGAGCGGCGTAAGTGCTGAACTCAGCCAAGGAGTCGGGCAGCGGGGAATTCACCAGCGCTTGGAGGTCCGGATTGACCGTGTGCTGAGACGAGTACCGTTCCTCCAGCGTGATGTCCTGAAGCTGTTCGGTGGATTGCTCTTGCAACAGGCTGGCCGTCTGAAACTGTGCGTCATGAAGATTTCAATGCGTGGTGTTTTGCAACGCGACACATTGAGAGAAATCCCGCTTAAATTATAGGCGTTTTCGGCTTCGACTGCGTCTGCTTCTGGTTTTAACCCGAAAAATGGTAATAATAACGTGTGCAGTCTGTTTAATAAAAGCGTGAGCGACATAACTTTGAAACTATAGCAACGATGGTTTCGCTATAATAGCAAAATAATTTTTCTCCGTATATGTAAGGCTATTGTATCACTGATATTATAGCAAAGCTTACTAAAAAAAGTGCTTCTTTTGAGTACAATTCTTTCAATTACGAAATTATAATTACAAATGTCAGACATTTTTTTCTTAATGCGGGTAAAAGCAGTCGTTGATCCATCTGCGAGATCTTGATCAGAACAAAGGTGATCAGAATTGAAGGTGCAATTTATTATACGTAAAAATAAATTCATCACCTCTTCGGTAATATCCAGGCGTTCGAAAAATGGCGAATCAATCAGAATTAAGTTTTACCTGAATCGAGTCCAACTGTGTAGCATGCAGAAGCACGCTGTCGGGCACGGTGGTGACCTGTTGGAACACTTCGTCCTGCAAGCTCGGACTGAAGTAACCGCCGTCTTCGGCGTAGCCCGTCATCGTGAAGCTCTCTGTCACCGCGGGTTGTGCTTGCGGCTGATTATTCGCTTGCTGATTGGTCGTCGTTGATTGCACGGGCTGTTGATAAGTCAGGTGTAATCTCTGTCCTGGGTCGGAGGTTGTTCTCTTCACCGCCACTTTCGCTCCCTACGATTGATTCGCACGTTGTTGCACGTTGTTACGCGCGTTTGCAAAACGTAGAGGAAAAGCAGCAAAACTGACATAGGTATGGTAAACCGACATATCTATGTTTCTCGGCTGTAAAGTACCGAACTCTGTTGGACAGAACATGCAGTTGAAAGAACATGATGTCTGTTATATAGCTGGGCTTGAAGTAGCAGTTTCTGCTTGCAAAAATGTTCAGTTGTGTTATTAGCGTCATAACAAATAGCTATTCGCAAGGAAACGTAATAATTTTCTTAATTTCTTTAATAATCTTCAAAAGACCGTCACATATTTTGGAGAGAAGTTTTGCAAAAGCTTGCACCCATGCACGTGAATTTTAATTTTCCACCTCCAACAGAACTTTAGAGACCAGAATCAAAATGCTGTATGTCGGTTTTGGTACCCCTCCTCTATACGTAGGTAACTATGTGAAATACTGATATACGACACATGCGGACGCGTAATCCGAAAGTGTCAGAACAGGATATCGTGCGGACGATTCGTCGTTCATTCGCACGAGGGTGACGTAATCATACCTTGAGAATTAGATCGGCGAGCGCCTGAGCCTGGGCCTGATTTTGCGCGTCCTGCAAGTGCTTTTGCACGGTCGCATGGCCACCCACGGTGACATTGGGCTGTCGGAAGTGCTCGCCATCGGAGAGCCGGCGCACCTTCTCGCCTGCCGCCAAGGGCGGCGGTGCTGGCACCGCGAAGCTCGTCTTGCACGAGATTTGCGAGACGGCGTCGGCTTGCGCGGTGAAAACGGTGGCGTTCGTGCGCGATTGTTGATTGCCATTCGCATCCGCTGCTAAAACGTGGGTATTTCCTGGTGAGCAATCTCGTCGACGCTCGTTCGCGAATCTTATTCGGGAGAACTTCGCGACCTGTGATACTGATGAATTGTGCGATCAACACGAGCGACGTATCTCCTATGCGTCTAACGATTATTACGCGTTGCGTAAATAGCCGGGATAATTTATGCCTCCCTCTCTGCTCCCCTCGACGGGGGAGAAAGCGGGTATTTTTGCCGCAATCATATTTGATCTATTATCACATGTTTGACGAACGGTAGGAGCGTTTCTCTCTAGAGCACAGCTGGCGCGGTAAATACACACGATGTCTCTAGTTTGCTCTCACATTTCAGGTCGAGAATAAACACCGAGCGCGCGCAGAGGAGCCTCTCTGAAGGCCCTCGTGTTTGCGACCGCGGAGGAGAGATGGATTGGTCGGCAAGATATTTTTCCTTTACTAACAGCTACCGTAGCGCGCGCGTGCGACGCTTCGCGTTTCCGAGCGGAATAAACAGAGACGACGGCGGAAGACCGTGAAACGAAAAGCGGAAAAACGGAAGAGACAAAAAGAAAGAGTGAGAGAGAGAGAGAGGAGAAGGAACACTCCCATATGCGTGAGCAGGAATACGTACATATATACGTATGTATATACGCGGCGTTCGGAATAAAAGGATCTTTTGTCGCCTCCTTTTTTTCCCTCGATTCGCCCTTCACCTGACAATGGCGGTCGCGAATTGCTGCTCTCTTTTCAGCCGCGCGGCGCGCCGCCCGCTGCGCACGTCGACGCTTTTTGTTTTCCCTTTGGCTTTACGTATATATAATTGAAGAGAGGAAAAAGAGAGGAATGTGAAAGCGCGGAGGATTGGCTGAAGCAACAACATACGTCGCGCCGTGTGTATGCTCACCGAGGCCCCCCTCTCTCTCTTTCTCTCTCTCCGTCGGCGGCGGTGCAATAAAAATTTTTCGGTACGTTGTATCTCTAAAAATAACAATATTTAAATTTCAAAAAAGCGTGTGTGCGTGCCGGTACGTCACGGCACATCCTGAGAACGCGGCGCGCGGGTTTGCTAGAATAACTACATTTAAATTTCAAAAAGCGCTCATGCCGTTCCGGTTATAATGTATTCCGTAGTCCGGCGGCGGGCTGACTCAATTTTTACGAAAGCGCGCGGATGACAGAGTATTATAACCGGGCAGACACGAGTTATATATATTCGGCCGCCGTGTCGCGTGCGTGAGATAAATAAATGAAGGAAAAAGAGGAATATTAGCGACGCTTTCCCCCGACAATGATTACACTCGCGATCGGGAGGAAAATAAAGGACGAGCCCGTATCCTTCGGTTAATTAAGGTGTTCCTGCCGATCGCTACTTTCCACGTAGACACGTGTCTTCTCGGATCTCATCCGAGCCGAGCTTCACCCACCCGATAGTTCATGATGCCGCGATTCCCGAACTGAATAGCGCCAGATGGAAGCGAACGCGTGTCACTTTGAAGCGCGCCATTTTACTCGAAATGCATGCGGGGCTACAAAAGATAAATGGGGGAGCGGTCTTCCCACTTATTTAGACGAAAGTAACAAAATCTACACGCAACTTTTCACTCGGCGCTCCCCGCTGCTACCGTTGCTCCCTTCCCCCTCCTCCCCCCTTTCAACACCGCGCCATAATAAATATTCCAACGCCGCTGAAATCGCAGCATACTGAAAAATATATTCCACGGCGCGCACAATCGTTCATGGTGGTCGTGCACAACTCGACGGAAATAAATGCGTGCATATCCTGGACGCCGCGGGGAGAAAGGGAGCGGGGACGCAGGGGGAGGGAGAGAGGGCGAAGCGAGAGGAGGAAATAGGATTCGCGCCGAGTGTACAGCTGTATCGCGACGAAACTTTTCCACGATGATTTCATGAATATCCGGCCTCCGTTCTGGCTTCGAGCCGGCGCGCGAGCCCAGCGGTTCGCCCTTCGCGTATTACCCTTCTCTCTCTTTTTCCCTGTCCCGCTCGTTATACCGTCCATCGCGGTCTCTACCGTGCACTTCATACATTTTTATCGCGCGTAGCGTATAATTAGTAGCCCTTACGCGATTTCTCGCAAGTTCCAGCGGAGCGTCCCGACTTCACGACGAGACCGGATGTAGCGTACATACAGAGTGATTCAGAGCAACTATTTGATCCCTCAGAAAACATATTCCTGATTGCACCGGGGAAAAAGATTAGCTATAGGAGCTAAAATCTAGCTGTGACAGCTAAAATGTGTCTTTGATACGGGGACATCTAGTGTCCTGTTTTGCTACCGTAACTAAATTTATTAGAATTTAAGCGCTAAAAGTTTTAACTAGATCGCACAATAGTACTAAAATCAGATTCACATTCTCGATTTTAACAGAAGCTGCCGTAAGGCGTTAGTGTACACTGATTTTGTCTGAAATTTAGCCATTTATTTCAATTAATGCTATAATGTATCTGAAAATGCGCACTTAAGCACTGACGACTTCAATCCGAGATCTTTGAATCGTGAGTTAATTATCTTAGGTAAAAGTATTAATATCCGGACGTGTACTTAAATCTGGACATTCTCGTTATTTTAGTCTTTAAATATTTAAATTCTTAACATAGAATATATGTTCATATTAAATGTATGTATATATATTCATGATCGAACATTTTGATGTTCGTAATTAAAAACCAAAACCATAAGAATGTTCAGGTTTAGGTGCATGTCTTGGTTTTTACCTTACTACACTACTACTGATATCGACTGGCATAAACGTGTATTGTTTATATGTGATATAACCAGAGAGAGAGCCCAACTAACTAACCTTAGTTACTCATGCTAACCATTTCAGCTAATAAAGTTGTACCTTGCAGCAAATGCATTTTACTTTTAATAGTCAACTTTTAGCAATGATAACAAAGTTCAAACTAGCTGACGAGATTTAACTGCTATTACTAAATCAATTCTCTGAGTGTGGAGTGAGGCAACTTTACCTCTTGCAAAGCTTAATTTTTGAATTATAAAAAGCAATAGTTTGCTTATTACGAGTCGAGTACAGCAGGTAGGCAAGGCGCAATTCACAATCAAACGCAGGCGCTTATATGGAGCGTCTACTGTGATCGTTTCCAAGTTAAGTAAAAATTAGCATATTTAAAGTGTGTCAATGAGTGTGAGTAAAAGACAGAGAGACAGAGAGAGAGAGAAAAATAATTTATTGAGCGTTCCAGAAAAGAAAATCCCTCAAACGCTAAAAATAAAATACATTGAGAAATAATAAAATGGCATCACAGTAGAAATAAAGACGGATATCAAGATATAAATTAAAAATAGTAATTATGAGGTATAAACGTGCATGAAGAGCAGGCAAGAGGAGACAAAGCGGAAATCTACATGACGATGCGTACCAGTGTAACAAGAAAAGATGACATTAATTTTATGGGTTATTTTAACAGACAGAGGAAATTGGTTTCCAATTTGAGGTCAAAATGGAAAAAGTTTACAAACTGAGCTGTAAGAAAGCTTCCCATTGTGATAACAGTTATAGTAAGCTGTTTTGAATTCTCTTATAGCACAGAAAGACAGAGAGAACGTGTTTGTCACATGTGTGCACGTATCATCGTGTGTGGTGATCAACTGATCACAACAGGCGCCTTAAGTAAGCTACCACGTCCGGTAATAAAGTTATAACGCCCTTGCCTATCTGCCCTTGCCTACCCTGCACCTGATTCGTAATAAATAAATTACTCTTTTCATGTCGTTAAACAATTAAGCTTCGGACGAAGTTTTGGAGGAGGAAAAGTTGCCTCAGAATCCAGTCAGGAATATGTCTTTCGCGAGACAAATAGTTGTTCTGAATCATCCTGTATATATCTGACGCGTCTCTCCGGCGAATTTATGAGATTACTCCTAATTCTATCCGGGAGCGAGTCGCTCCTGTAACACGAACCTCATAGGATCCGAACCGTCAAAGGATCGTAGGTAGTCTCTTCTCTTCTCTTCGCTTCTCTTCGCTTCGCTCGCTAGCTCACTTGCTTGCTTACTTGCTTGCTTGCTCGTCAGCGAAGCAGCGAGTACACACGCACACGTATTCGCTCGGCAATTTGTCGAGAGCGTATATAACGCGGCGATTCGAAAGTCCGACGGCTCGCGATCGATCGATCGCCGAGGCGCGAAAGACACGCGAGGCTTATGCATTTACATAAACCGCAAATGCCGCGACCGTTCGTGTACGTGCGACAGCGTATCGGCACACACTGGCGAGACCGCGTGATATTTTTACAAATTGGCAATCATCGATCGCGGCCCGGCAAATTGCTTCCAACGAGGCAGACGCGCGCCGGCCTGTCTCCGGCCTGTCCTATCTGCACTTCCAATGGAAATCGTTGCGGTCGATGCTGCAGCGACGAAAAAGCCGAGAGAGAACAAAGCAAAGCTTCATTTGCGTGGGTAGTCCGCGTATCTACATGTGGTAGTTTCACGTGGCCGTACGTGTGTACCCCGTGTGTGCCCGCGTGTACACATATATTAAAAATCACGCGCCCTCCCTCGGCCACAAATCCTCCTCCTCCGTCGAACTCCGGCGTGAATTTTCTCTCGTCGGAAATCTTCTCGGACGCGATCGCGTCTCCTCCGATTTTCTACTCTCAGCGTTAAGGCTCCCGTTTCCTCGCCGTAGTCATCTTGATTGATGACGTCAGAAGCGAGGAAATATCTAAACTTCTTGCAGAATGAATTCTTGTTGAAATAAAAAATATATCCATAAAATGACAATTATAGTCAATCAAGCAGATCTGTAAAATTGTCCGTTAACTTTACATTTGCTCTAGAATAATATCAATAAAAATAACCGTAATTGATAAAAATAATATAACAAAATCATGGGAAAAGATAGATTAGAACGGTAGGTTACGTGTCATATTAATTTTAATAATGTCAAGTTATTTATTGGTTGTTAGAGCAAAAGTCCAAGTTTCAAGACTATTTTATAGATCTGCTGGCGATCGACTGGAACTGTTATTTTATTTTATGGATATGTTCTTTCACTTCAACGTATTTCGCAAGAAGTTTGGAAATATGTTTTCTCGTTTCTGACGTCATCAGAAAAGACGATTGCAGCGCGGGGCCAAGGATATCTCAGTGCGGGCCCGCGAAATTAGAATTCTGTCAGAGTAGAAGTCAGCTAAAAATCCGGAAAATAAGACGTGGCCTATAAATCCATCACGATTAAATTTACGTAATTAAGATACATGTGAAGCATCGTGACGGCCGATAACATCCTTATCGGCGGACGGCACCGATACGCATCTGCCGCGAATGAAATCGGACCGCGGTTGTCGGGCGACAACCGTCTCGACACGCGCGCGCGGCCACGTCGCGGGTTTAATTCTTCATTTGATTTATCGTGCGATCACTGTCAGGCATCCCCGCATTCTTCGGTGCTCGCGGAGGGGCCGAAAAAGGAACGATATTTCGCGATCGGCGATCGGCGTGACCGGGCGGGCCGAACTCCCACCGGTGTATGTACGTGTGTGTATGGGCTGTTGTACGTGTCTCACCCTCTCGCCACCCTTTGTTAAAAAATGTGTGCCAGTGCCGTCACACCGACAAGCAAATAACGGACGCAACGCCGGCAGCCTGCATTCCCCATGCATTGTCAGCGATGCATCGCGCCGAACTAGCGCGCTCGCCAGCAAATTATTTATCGATCGATCTTGTTGCGTGGCCACTAGCGAGGCTTTTCAAAAAATAATGGCCGACGACAATGGCCTAGCTAAATGACTGTCAACAATTGCCGATCGCGCTGACGGGGAGCGACGGGAGTAGGCATCAGTTGCTATTGTATGTTGATTAATAACCATTCGTGAGCGAATATTCATAGAATTCACGAGTCCATCATATGGCGGAACGACAGAATTCGCGAAGGTGCTCGCGCGCTTCAGTGGATATCGCCGTGGTAGCGCGGCGGTCGTGGCGCGTCGCGTCCCACATTGATTTATACTACTTCAAATAGCGCCGTATCGCCTGCTCGCTCGCTCGCTCGCAAACAAACAATTGAATTTCCAGTTAGTCAAACGTAACAAATTCTATGCTCGTCACTCGTTTCACTGGGTACGGTTGCCGCCACCGTCGCCGCCACCGCCGCGGCCGAAAGAGGATAGTCTCGTTAAAAGGCAGAATCAAATCGAGATTTACCGCGGGGAATGCCGCATTAATTTCACCGTTTCCCAAATAAATTACATCCGAAAGTATATGTTGCTCGAATTGCGCGCGTCCGATGTTACAAACGACGCGCTATACGTTCCGCCAGCTCTCTCGCTGCGGCGCGCGCGACTCCTCGGTTCGAAATTAAACGTTAAAAACGAAACACGAGCGGTGACCGCGTTATCTTTTTTCGCCAAGCGAAAGAGAATATACGGAACCTATGTCTATTCAAAGAAAGATAAGCCATGAGAATCATTTCTCAGTAATAAGGAATAATTTCTCCCTCGGCTTTCGAACGGAATTTATTTGCATACTATATTTTTGAAAGAGACCAAAATAGTACAAATTTACTATCACGGAAAAAAATTATTATTGATTCAAATCTCATATTCTCTATTCATATAAGTATAAATATATAATTATTTATGAGAATAAAACTTACGTGCATAAAGAAATTATATACACAGAGAGAGAATTTTTCGGTTCAGTACAATGAGAAAAAAGATTTTAAAATTTATTTTTGGAATATAAGGTTTATTTCACATAAATAAACATTTATTTAAATACGGCGAAATAAAATTTTATTTGTAGCAAATAAATCAATTAATAAGAAAACTTGGGTATATTTCATAAAAATATATATTGTGGCATTGTAGTAAAGTTTTTTTCTAACCGATAAATATCGAAGATAATGTCACGAGAAATATGTACTTTGCAAAATTTCAATTTCCTTTTCTCAGTATATACGGTATTTATTTGACTTGGGTGTTTTTAATATAAACA